CGATGACTCAATAGAAGTATTGAATTAGGGGAGTTTTTGTAATTTTGACCTAGCAAAAAACCAATATTGCGAGTCAATTGAATAACTTAAAACCAATTTTGGGCACTTGAAAGATGATCTAGGGTTTCTCCAACAAACCAAGTAGAGAGGGAGGATAGAAAGAAGAAATGTTATAAGTAGTTTAGAGTTTTTTTTTTTTTTATCAATTTTTGAAAAAAAAATAATTAGACATTGAAAGATATTTTTTTGTCTTGTAAATAACCATAAAGTCTCACTAATTGTTAGTTATGTCAACGACAAAACTAAAAAAGACTAATGTTAATTGTTTTTATAAAGATTAAGGATGATAGGATGAATAAATTAAAAATGAAGGATGAAATTTTGATTAAAAAAAATTGAGTACTACTTTTAAAAATTTTCAAAAGTTTAAGAGCCGTTGATCCACTAGATCTTCACAGCTCCACCACCATCAAATTGTTAATAATTTGTTGTACGTTCTCTCCCAAGCTTTCGAACGTCATTACGAAGACCTAATAATGGAGCATAATAAAACCAAAGGACCAAACAACAACCAAGTGGACCATACCTATGCGAGGAAAATAAAACATCAATAATTGCAATGAATTAGTTGATCGATCTGCTTGCTTCATATGAAAGTGATACCATCTCCTAGATCAATTAATAATCAACGAGAGGATCCCCACACTCTGAGAGTGACTTAGACCCTAGGAAAGTGCAAATCATCTTGAATTCATGTTCGAGCTCCATAAATCTCATTTTTGTTTTTCCCAATTACTTAAAATATGTAACTAATTTTGGTTTATTAAAAAAAAACTAATAATCAACGAAAATTTCAAACAATTGACCATAGAAGTATGAGTTTGTTTAATTTATGCTTTTAATACATATATTAAGAGTGTATTAATTATATATTTTTTATTAACTTATATAAAAAAATATAAAAATTAATTTTATTTTTAACACCATTAAGATGTATATAATTTTGATCTAGAAATGAATAAAATTAAAGTTAATTTTTATTTTTTCTATCATGATTATTGAGATAAAAAGCAATTAATACACCATTAACCTTTACTAAAAAAAACCCTGTACGTATATATTCAATTAGATGAGAATTAAATATGGTTAAATATCTTTTTTGGTCCTTTTACTATTGAAAAGCACCTCCTTTTGGTCCTTATACTGAAAAAATCTCTTTTTTGGTCCTTAAAATATAAAATCCAACCAATTTTTTGTCTCTTCATTAATTTTTACTCACTTGGCATCCTATCTTAATGGGAACATCTAATATGGATATTCTACCATGGGAAAGTACTTACGTGGATTTGATAACACCTTTCCATGTCACTTTCTCCATGAAAAAAAAAACCTTAAATTCTCCAATTTGTTTTTTTCAATTCCTTCTCTAGAAATCATCTTCCTTCTTTCGAAATTCTTTGTTTATAATCAACCCTTTACATGTGAGATTGGTCAAGATATAATTAAGAATCCATAGAAATATTTTCATTGATAAAAATAAAAATTAATTACTAATTAAGGACCCTAACTTCTCCTCTGCAAAGTAGATCATTCTCTTTACTTTTTCCCTAATTTTATATTCTCAACCCTTTCTTCCTGTTGAATCTAGGGTATGGATGAATCAAGTTATGAAGTTTATAGCAACATAAACATAGCAAGGAACCCAACAACTGGGTTTTGTGAGGAATCCCAGATGGCGAAGATAAACGGTGACATGATGATGTCGAGGATGAGGGTGAGGACAAGGGTAAGGATGAGAAGAAAAAAGAAGATGAAGAAATTAAAGTTAATTATGTTTAAATTCATTTAATTAATGAATTAAGAAGTAAAATTTTTAATTTATACACGTGACCCAAAATACTTAGATGAAATGTTTATATGAATTTATATTTTTTTAATGTAATTTTCACATCATTTATAATATCATTTATATAAAAACAATCAAGTAATTCCATTAGTTAACGCAACAGTCATCAATAATTTAACAGAGGGACCAAAAATGGTTGGATTTTAAATTTTAAGGACCAAAAATGACTTTTTTCAATAGTAGAAAGACCAAAAAGAATATTTAACCATTAAATTTAAATACGAAATAATGTCCGTGTCTGGGGACTCAGTAAGTACTAGGTTATTTTCAGGGCAATATGCTAATTATGTAAGTAACTCATTTTAATGGTCCGTTTGGTATAGCGGTTTTGGAGTAA